CTGCCTCAAAGATAGACAGAGAACACCAAGGATGCAGCTTTCCTAAGAGCTAGGGTGGGGCTTTTCTCTCCTACTAAGTCCTAAGTCCTCCTACTCCTCTAATCAATTTCTCACCTTCTATGTCCCTCTAAGCAATTCCAACAAATACACTATCTCACTAAGCTAGGCTTGGGTAGGATCCTTTCTTTGGTCTGTCATTGGTGCCCAACTTCGGGTAAATGTTTGTTTACATCTCCCTGGAAAGATTACACAATACCACACCTGTACAGTCTTCACCAAGGGCAGACATACCTAACCCACAGATGGTCGGGAAGGGCTGAGCTGTAGGGCTACTGATACTGTCAGAGAAACCTTGTCCTTCCCACTAAACACCTAAGTTCTAGAGTTCAACAACACTGAAGCAAAAATCCAAATAAGTGGCAAGTCCTGGATTAAAAACAGTTGAATAAAACAGAAAAAGCAAAGGAGCAGAGTTGAGGGTAGAAAAGAATGAGACAAATTAGGCAAATCATCAACAAAAAGAAAATGTCTGAAGCCTTAACATTCACACTATAACACCATTTGCAGTGTGGTACAAAATCCAACCTAAACAACTGGCCTGTTTTCCTGTTTGGGGTAGCAAGTTCCCCAAACAGAGGGCTGCAACATCATCATAATACCCATATCCTAGACAAGCAGGACTTACTGTGGGAAGACCTGGGTGGATGATTCACGGCCGTCTTCCTTCTCATAGTTAGCAATCAGTGCTGGTCACCATACACATGTGTCAGGCCATGAGTCTGAGTTACTGTATAACATTTCGTTGGTCCTTTCTCATCTCCTCCCACATCCCAGGAGCTGCCTTGTTTTTGACTCTGATTTACCTATAGCCTGATGCTGCTAGGTGTTTCTTCCACATCTGAATTTTTCTAACCCTAACTAAGAAATCTAATCCTAATAATTTCTTCATAGACTGGGTTCAAACCTTAAAATTTACCCACTACAATCAACCCTTGTGGACAGCAATGCAGAGAACCTTCTCTAGTTAGAGGACAGTAATATCTTGTTTCACTTCATGATTACCCCACCATCAAGAAAAATGGGTCAGTACCCTCAAAATTCACTGCTGTGCTGTTCACAATAGCCACAAATGAAAACACTTGCATATCACCAGCTAAGAAGTAGATAGTAAGAATGCAGTGTGTTCACACTGTGGGATACTATTCATCCCATTCATTACATACAAAAGAATGCAATCCTGGTCATACAGAAATTGTTGGAGCTGAAGGCCAGCCAGTTGTGCAGGCACCCTGCACAGTTTCATTTGTGGGGCCTAAAAAAAGTTTCTCTCAGAAGCTGAGAACACAGTAGTGGATACTGGAGCAGTGGGGGACAAGAGAGAGCTAAGAGTAAAGGTTAATCGATAGTTATTACTACAGTTGGAACTTTTAATATGCTATTTTATTGCATAGAAATTAACATCTTAATAGAAAAGGTGCTGTATATTTCAAGAAACTAGTTTGCATCCACCATTTAAAAAATGATAAATTTAAGGTAACTGGTATTTTTAAATGAATTTAAGCACTGTGTATGTGTGTACTTGTGTGTTGTGACATTTCCTCATGACTTTTTGTTTTTATAGATCTACTCTAGAATTTTTTAATTTTAAAATGTTAATGGGACATTAAATAAATGTTATTTATAGAGAGTACTCATCAAAGTCAAGAGTTGACAGCTGCCCTCCCTTTATAGCACTTCAGGAGACCTTACTGCCAACAATGACTTCTCCCTAGACAGCTATGGCCCAATCATCATAGCATGGGTTGACAAACAAATGGTATTAGTCACACTCAAAATTGAGCAACAGCTCTTTGTCCAGTGTACAATTAAAGCTTTGAGTTTAAAACTGTCCACATCTGTCTGCTAACACATCAGGAAGTGTCTAGAGACACATTTTACATGTTCCTTGTTGACTCTAATTTATTTCACCTTAGTCAATTTTCATATTAGGTCTTTGAGATAATTATTTTAGGTAACTAAGAAGACACCCTTCAGCCATTTCTTATACACAGCAAAATCAATCTGGGAAAAGGCATTCTCAAAAGGAAAAATAAGGAATTGTGACATAAAAAGAAATTCCAGTTCACTTTTGTAATGCTATTCCAAGTAAATTCTAAAGATGATTTATAGGGTAGACTTAATTTTAGTGAAGTAATCTTTCTCCATAGTATCAAAATACATATTCAAATGCTAGCACTGAGCTTCTTCAGGAAATGTTCCTCAGTTAACCACAATAAAAAGTTACTCACTGTGTGGCTCATCTCTCTTGAAATATAACACACCAAATCTAACTCATTCTTAACCACTCATCACTTCTATGTAATTATGTTGTCAGGGTGGTCTGTGTGCCTACATGATGACATGTGACAAAAGACTCTGTTTTCCCAAAGAAATCAACAATAAATATGTTTAAAATTCTATAGCAGGCAATGGGTTTTTGATCCTACTGCACGTACTGGCTTTGTGGGAGCCTAGGCAGTTTGGATGCTCACCTTACTAGACCTGGATGGAGGTGGGTGGTCCTTGGACTTCCCACAGGGCAAGGAACCCTGATAGCTCTTTGGGCTGACGAGGGAGGGGGACTTGATTGGGGGAGGGGGAGGGAAATGGGAGGCGGTGGCGGGGAAGAGACAGAAATCTTTATTAAATAAATAAACGGAAAAAAAAATTCTATAGCAGGTGACATCTACCATTCATCAACTGGTATCAAATTAACATACATTGATCTTATTCTTCCAGTATTAATGATGTCATGGAATCCAATGATACTTGCTCATCTATATCAAGTTATGCCTTACTGCTATCCTCTCATGTACCAAACTGCCGTGTGTGCTCAATTACTTAAGAGAATAAACAGAGACAGTTCAGCTAGGAAGGGTACATTTGACAGCAACAAGTGTAGGTTCCTTAAGTGCTCTGAGCACCTCATAGGAGTTGGAGTTCATATTAGCACTCCAATGGAGTCCTCAAACCAGTCACTGGTATTATATAGTATCTATTACATATATATTATGATATTGAACAATAATACAATATTTTCACCCTTAAAACTTGAGTAACTATTATACAGTCCCAAATATGATCAAATTAATCACCAAGAAATGTCAAAATAAGTGCTTTCTTTTCCTTTAAAGTCTTTTACTCATTTTAAAGTTTATCCACATTACTAAAGAACATATGGTGTTGATCACCACTGATGAAGTACATTCAGCTCCAAAAAAAAAAAGTCAGTGGGGGCTGGAGAGATGGCTCAGTGGTTAAGAGCACTGCCTGCTCTTCCAGAGGCCCTGAGTTCAATTCCCAGAAACCACATGGTGACTCACAGCCATCTATAGTGAGACCTGGCGCCCCCTTCTGGCCTGCGGGCACACATGGAAGGAATGTTGTACACATAATAAATAAATAAATCTTAAAAAAAAAAGTCAGTAATAATATTTAAAAGTACTTTGCCTCATACTTAAGAGGCAAGTTTAGAACTTGAGCTATCCATGAAACTTTTCCTTAAGACCCCATCTTTTTCCTTAAGAAGCTGGATGCTACATGCAGACAGTACAAGAACGTAAGGACAACAGAGTATTCATCAGAAGCATCTAAATCAAATGACTTTCTTCCTCCTTATACTGCAGGAACAAAAGATAAGGATACAGAAACCATTCTAAGAACATTTTGTTTTGATGCATACTCTAGAGCAGAGGTCCCAGTCTGTGCATTTTTAGATCTTTGAGACATGGAAAATTTCATGAATGTACACACTTCTTCCTACCAAAAGCAACTTTCTCTCCATGCTGTAAAAAATAAGGTCAAAAATAAGAAACTGGAGAGAAACATAAAATGTTTCCTCAACACTAATCTAACATTATCCTAATACGACCCAGCAGTGAGGAAACACTGAGCACTGGAGGCAAACACCATCAAATAAGACGTTGCCGCAACAGTCCTGATGGCATTGAAGTATTGTGAGACAGAACCACTGCCCAGTGTTATCTTTTTCAAGCCACTGTGACAGATCCAAAATAGAGATTAACAAGATTAAGTAAGACTACCTGCAAAGCCACTCTCAACTGTTATAAACTGAGATGTTATTTGTTCTTATAGCTATTTTAAGTTTAGTGAGAGTATGGCCACATCTTGTTTTTTCTTTTAAAAATGCCCCCGAATTGCTGATGTGCCTTGAATATCTTAAACAGAACACAATACTTTTTAAACACTTGAACAGACAAAGTACAGTTATGCAAATCCATTAAGAGTGACAAACACTACCACTTCATCACAGGTACACAGAGGCCTGCTGGGTATGGCTAATAGACCAAATCTTCACTTCTGGCCCTTTTTTTTTGAGGGGGGGGAGGTAAATGAACAAATTAAATGGCACAATACAATAAGGACAGAATGTGACAGTATCATCACAAGGTATGCATTTATATACAACTTTTAAACCAGGGAACAGGGCAGTACTGAGTAGAGATGGAATAAACCAACAGAAGCCGAGCCGGTCAGGACCGAGTAAGGTTGAGGTTAGTGGCAACAGCATGTGTGTGGTTTCCAGGAAACCTTCAGTATGACTGCTGTTAGCCCTAGCCCCGCACCTTGCCCAGCCCAGTGTGCTGCTTCTTCCTCCAGCTCCCGCCTGGCCTGGCTCAGAGCAGCACTGCCCTGCTCCCAGGGGTGTGGTGGCCCAGCCTGAACTCACCTTGGCAGTGAAGGGGCCAGAAGTTTAAAACCTGTTAATGCATTATGGCAAAAGTGCAATGAACATGCACATTTCACACACTCACATTCCAGAGCAAGAAAACACACAACCAGTAAGACAACCTCTACACAAAACACTCTCGGTGAAAGCAGAGACAGAATCTTTAACACCCATTATTACCACAAAGGTAAGAATAGAGCAGTGGTGTTGGTTCCCCACAAAATTTCAGCTAATGGATTAAAGTACCAAAAGTAATCATGGCATCACCTACTTTAACTGCCATTATCTGCCCACTTGGTTTGTGGACCATTTTGTTGACAGAACCATAAGCTCCTCGTCCAATTTCTCCAAGGTCTTTCAAGTCCTCTGCAGTGAAATCCCAGTGTTGTTCAGGGGAGATCTTCAGTTTTCCTGATGACTCAATGCTGTGTGTTCTCAGTCTCTCTCTGTTAAAATATTGGGAAGCAATTTTTCCACATTTTAAATAGGTTTTAACTTTTTTTTTTTTTTAACTAGCACTGAGTATGGTGTGGGAACGTTCATCAGCTCATAAGGACACCAGCATAACCTCCAGTTCTGGAGCTGTTTGCATCATCTTGCTTTATACTCACTGAATTTTGGTAAAATACATTTAGGTATCCCCAAGGCACAGCTTCAAAGACATTCATACAATCCAATCTCCTTTTGCTGATGAAACTAACACTATCTACCAGTTATTCAATAGTAGGCCCTTTTTGAGCCTATAAAACTGCCTTACCAAGCTGAGTCCCAGCATTGAGAATTCATTTCTACAAAATGCTTACCCTATCATATCCTCTAGTTGGTAAAGCGGTTTCCAAAATTTGCTGTACCAGTTCTAAACTCCAAAGGCCAGGAAGTGCCTATAGCAGTTAAAGAATGTATGGAATAAGTTGGAAGCAGCATTTCCAAGTATTCCCAGTAGTTTTAGCAACATGTGGGAATGCGTACTTTAATATACTACCCTGTTATTGTTTACACCATGTTGAAGTGGGAAAGAGATAAAGTGCCAGCTTAAAACTAAAAGGAAGCCTGTACTGTCTTATTCAAACCTTCTAACCTCTGTTCAATAACAGGAATAATGGGATGGAAAGAGAGTTGGTTACTAGAAAAGGCAGAGGTCGGTCACAGTGCATTAAATACCATAACCAAATCCCAACACAGAAACCAGTTTTCTTTCTCCTCTCCATCTCCCCGCATATGAGAACAAGCTGTATCAACCTAGAAAGTGCAATATATACAAACAGACCACTGAATATCAACTAACTAGTTTTCAATTTCATACTAAAGTACCAGAATCTGTTTCAAAGCCGAGCCTTGTGATATGAACAAGGAAGGTTACAGACTTGGTTATCTATTTTGTTCTTGCAAAAACTCTGGAATGCTTCCTGCATTTTGTAGAAATTATTTCCTGTGGCTAGTTCTAAGGGCCTCAAAAATTTTAGAATGCTAAAAATCTCTTTTCCCAAATAACCATAGTGACTGTTGTTGATAATGACCAGATTCAAAGGTATAGTTAAAAGCTTTGTATATTTTATCTAAATAACTTAGGGAAGCTCCAAATAAGAGAGTCTAACACTGCGAGATTGAGTCCTGAGTCAGTGGCTTCCACTCACTCAACTGCTTTCATTTGCACCCCTGCCTTTGCGAGGCCAGCTTCCAGTGACAGAATCTGCCCAGAAGCCAGGGCCAAGTGACCACTTCAGTCCTGATGAAACCAGTGCTGATCTCTGAAGAAAGAAAATATATTAAGGGATGACAAAGATTTTTCTCAGGAATCTGCTTCCTGACGTAGACAGAGTAAGTCAGAAAATACTCTAACATAAAGAAATTCTATTTAGAATGACCACTGCTCTATAATCATTGGTAATACCAGCTCTATGGCCCGTTTTAATTATTGATGAAACACAGCACTGGCCGAACAGTAAAGCTAGCTAAAAAAAAAAAGTTCATGGAAATTACTTGTAAATTGGAAGCAATATTTTAAATATTCACTAACATGAGGGTCACATGGTTCCCAACACCTTTTCCCTCCTGGCCTCAAGCTGTTTTCAGGTTTTTGTTTTGGTAAAGATCATGGGATACTACTTCACAGCTATATGCCACATGCATTTGCTACCATCCTTGAGAATCTCTTATATAATAGCATGGAATATCAACAAGCATAATGTTCTATAATTTTAAGGGAAAATTTTAGCATTATGGAATCTCTCTGCTAATAGTTTAGTCAGCTTTATAGCTTTGAGATTAACCCCTATTTTCTTTTTGTAAGTGAACAGTTAAGAAGAGATACAAAATATCTTACTGAGCTAATAAAATGCCCCAAATTTGGTAAAGCCACCATATATTTAACTTTTTGAACACAGTGACAAATCACAGAGAACATTCTATGGTTATGACATCACCACACCATGTTCCCACAACCTTCACTCATACTAAGCCAACAAACTTTCCAGGGAAACTAAACCTTTAGCAGCTTCCACATAAAAAGCCCAAACTTAATGGCTTCCAAAGAAAAATAAGTGAAATGCTAGCTTAGGAACCCTGCCTGAACCCAACCATGAACTCTAGCTGTCAGTCAATTTCTGCCCTAGACTATTTTAGGGGCTGTGGTAGTTTTAATGAAAATGGCTTCCATAGGCTTATATATTTGCATGTTTGATTCCCACTTGTTGAGACTTTCTTTGTAGAAGGATTAGGGGGTGTGGCCTTGTTGAAACAAGTGTGGCATTACTGGAAGAGGTGTGTCACTATGAGTGAGGTTTCAAAAGCCCAAACCAGGCCCAGTCTTTCTCTGTCTCCTGTCTGTGGATCAGGATGTAAGCTCTCAGCTACTGCTCTAGCACCACACCTGCCTGCCTGCCTCCATGCTCCTTACCATGATGGTCATGGACTGGTCCTCCGAAACAGTAGCAACTCACCAATTAGATGTTTTACTTTATAAACTGCCTTGTTCATGGTGTTTCCTCACAGTAGTAGAACAGTACTAAGACAACGGCCTAAGAAAGAAAGCCTATAAAAAACAGAAAACATGTCTATTGGGAAGCTTGGCAAGGGGGCCAGCATTAAGGTTCAGTGGGTAAAGGCACTTGCTGCTAAGCCAAACTACCCTGGTTCAATCCTTAGATCACACATAAGAAGGAGAAAACAGATTCCCACAGGTTGTACTCTAGCCTCTAAAAGCATTTACACACATGCACGCAGACACACACTGAAAAAAATGGTAAAAAAAAAACAACATAGAACACATGTTAAGTTTGTACTCTTATGACTGTACTCTTGAAGAGGAAGATGTTCCCTAGTTCTCAAAGATAACCCCTTTCTTGGGAAAAACAAACAAACAAACAAACAAAAAACTAACCTGTTTTATCAAAAAATATCTCCCCAATAACCTTCATGTTCTCTTCACAGTTTTCTACAAATCACCCAACACTGCCTTTGGCGAATAATCCATAATGTCCCAACTGTATTACTAAACTGGGAAACTCAGCCATGAGTAACCACCATGCTGCCCAGCACCCATTCTCCTCTCCATCCTTCCTACATGAGGCAGTAATGCTGTATGTCCTGACTGCTTATGAACTAAATTGTGTTCCCTCTCAAAACTCATATAACAAAGAAATCCCTGATATGACTATATTGAAGATAGGTCTACAAAGAGTTAACCAAGGTTAAAGAAAAGCTAATAAGGGTGGAGCCTATTTCAACAAAACTGGTCTTGTAATAGAAGACACCAGAGAGCTTGCTTCATTCCCGCATGCATTAAGAAAAGAGGTCCTATGAGCAGCCAATGAAATGGTGCCACCTGGAAACCCTGGAAAGAGACCGCAGAATGGAACTATCTTGCTATGAACTTGATCTTGGGCCCTGGCCCTCTACAATTGTGAGAGATGGTTTCTGCTATTTAAGCCATAGTCAATGATTTAGTTTTAGTTTTTAAGCAGTCCAACCTAAGATACCAATAACCCTTGCAGTTAGAAGTGGTAAAAAGGAACACAGCACTTAAAAGGAGCTGATACAACTACTTCCCTCCTCCTTATTGCACCAGGCTCCTTCAAAGCCCTTGAGAATGGAAACGTTTATCTTCAGAATGACAGGGTGATCACAAAAGCACTCTAGGCTTCACCTGTGAAGCCTACTCTAAATGAAACTATGGAAAGGGGGAATGAAACTATGAGGTTTATGCCATTATCCCTGTACTAAATGTGTGTATGCACGCAAATTTACTCTGAACTAATAAAGTCCCTAATGTTATTTTATCGCTCAAGAGTTGGAGAGTCCCATATCCCCAGCATCTGGCGGCACAAGAACAGACAGGTCAACAGGAAAGTTCACTCACCATATAGTGGCTGGCAGACAACAACCCCAAACATATTCAAACCCACAGCAATTCTAGCCAAAAGCGCTGCCTTGAATGGAATCCTCAACTCAAGTATCTCTGGTTTTTTAGAGACCTAAGTCTTTAATCTAATAATTCTTGGTTCCTAAAAAAAGAACAAAAACACATACATACTCACATAGAGAAAAACTGACACACTTCGCAAAGGTTAGAGAGCATACAAGATTATAAGCAGGAAATTTGATAGCAGGCTCAAATCCATTCAGTACAGGCCCCTGTGCATTAATGCACAGAAACTAGAATCTGAAATCACAGACTTACCTTGTCATAAGAAAATCTGCAAACTGTCCCTTTTGATCCTATAAATTTGTACTCAAGTCTTTTCAGATTATTTAGCTTTTAGACAGATACAGCCAACTTTTCCATTTACTATTTAACACTATGTCTAAGGTAACTGTAGTCTTTTCACTGACCCACACAGAATCTATAATTTCCCAACGTCTACAGATTTATAAGAACAAAGAACAATGATGTTAAGTTACAGGACGTTAATCAGACCACAACCTGAGAAAAGTTGTATTTCTTCGTTTGTTGGCTTGTTTGTTTTTTGAGACAGGGTTTCTCTGGGTAGCCCCAGTTGTCCTGGAACTTTCTCTGTAGACCAGTACACAAAAGTGGTCTTGAACTCATAGAGATCTGCCTGCTTTTGCCTCCCAAGTGCTGGGACTAAAGGCATGTACCAGCACCGCCAGGCAAGATGCTGTATTTCTATCTCTCATATCTAATAAAGCTGCCCATGGATTTCTATATAGGTGGGTAGATTTCATGTTGTTTTCTATATGGATGGGTAGACTTTACATTGCTTGTTTTGTTTTAAATACAGTGACACAACAAAGAAGTGACAGGTGGCTCCAGACACACTTGAAACTTCATACCTGCCCTCTGTTAATACAGTAGTGGTGGTATCTGCTTTGCAAACTCAGTGGCAAGACAGGTTTCCTAGCCACTTCTATCTAACCAAATATCCTAAGCCAACACCCTTGCCAAAACTGTATAGGTAGAAAGAGGGAAAATCTCACCACAATTCAGAAAGAAAACACTTTCTGTTTGTACTTTTCTATACAATGTGCATAAGTAATAAAAACTAGTTTATAAATTCACTAAAATATTTTAACATGGCAGTCATTAAACAACCACCTCATTTTGGTCAGGGCTGCACAGCATGTTTGCATGGACTTGGCAGAATCAATAACACCCACCAGTCAAGGGCACACTTTGCCTTGTATTCTAATTTGAAATGATACTAAAACCAAGTAAATTTCCTCCCTCTTTTGTGAGACAGGGTCTATTGGTTCCAATATTTTTTCATTAATACTCCAAATGTGTTTGTTACTGTTTGGAGTTTGAAAGCTGAGGAAAGATATGAAGAGATGAGAAGAGGACATATGAAGATGCTATCTGTCTTCCTAAGTCGCCTGAACTCTGGGGCTCTCCCTCTAGAGCTTCCTAATGCTCCCCTCCCCCCACTGCTGTTCATACCACACGGCCATGCTCGATGGCTTAGATGGCCTCATACTTGAAGAGTGAGTCCAATATCTTCTCCAACAGTTCAAGTCTCCTGCTGAGTGAATTCTTCACAGGTGTCCAAAGGAAACTGGCCAGGAACTGACTAGTCTTAACACAGAATGTAGTTTAAGAAAACAAAACTCAGTTCTTTAATAATCCCCTGTCCTCCCCAAATGCATATCTATCCAGAACCTTAACTGTTACCTTATCTTTACAAATTTAAAGTAGTAGAAGCACTGGGAGTGGTAGCATCCACCTTTAATTTCAGTACTAGAGGCAGGGGATTTATGGGTTTAAGGCCAGTCTGTGGACATAACAAATTCCAGGCCAGCCTGAATTATGTGGTAAGACTCTGTACTAAAATAAAACAGACAAACAAACAAACAAAAAAAAAAAAAACAAGAATCTTGCTATTCATATACATGCTATAGCTTTTCAAACATTTCAGACACAATGACTTTCCTTAAAGGAGACAGAGAAAGAGGTGGTAAAATGAAGAAAAAAGCAGAGATTATAGTTCCTCTGAGACACGGCCAGAAAAGCCTGAAACAACCAAAAGGAGAAAGAGAGGGTGGGGGCTTCTCTAGAGCCTGACTGAGATGCGTGGCTCAGTCAACTCCTTCATTTTCCATTTTTGGCCTCTAGTACTATGAGAGAATAAATTGCTATTGCTTTAAGGTATCAACTCCGCCACAATTAGTTATAACTAACATAAGGATAGATTATGAGTCTCAAACTTTTCTGTACAAAAGCAGAGAGTAATTACTTCAGACTTCACAATACAGTCATTGCAATACATACTCTGCTGTAAACATGCTGCCGGATCATCGTGGCTGTCCTACAATTAAACTTCACTTACAAGATGAACCTGGCCAGGAGCATGCTGACTACATGACATGAATGCTGCCTGGTTACCATTTGAGCACCCAAATCACTGTGTATATTCATTCCTAGATCCCTTTTCTCTTTTAAATTCGAATATTATACTATTAGAAACCCCAATTATCTACTCAGATCCTACAGATTTATTTCCAGAAATTAATCCCAAAACACATTTTTGGGGTTTTTTTTTTTTTGGTTGTTTTTCTTTTCTTAAAAATCTTGCCCCCACATCAGCAGGATTAGGGATCTGTTAACCTTCTCCAGGTTTTCTTATCATTTAATTAAGAGCACTAAGAAGGCAGCAGATCTTATTAGTGTGGCGGGTGCCTCTCTCAGCTACTGTCTTTCAGCAGGTAATAGTAATTACCTTGATGAATTTATTGTTCAAAATAGGAACCTGATTTCTCAAACATGCTGATGCTTTTCCTTTAAAAAGCAAAACGCACCTTCTGTCAAGGCCCACCTCCCCTAAAAGCCTTTCCTTGTCTACTGAAATGGAAGTGTGCTTCCCTGGCTCTTCGCCCCCTTCTAAGAAATGCACTTACCTATTTCTCTCCCTTTGGTACCAAGCAGATCCTCCTTTCCAAATCACTTTTTCCTTTTTGTCTTTAAGCAAGAGCCAAGATGTACACAATGCTTCAAAGTTGTTTTACTCTCAGAGCTCGCGCTCTCTCTCTCTCTCTCTCTCTCTCTCTCTCTCTCTCTCTCTCTCTCACACACACACACACACACACACCTGCCAATCTTCCTTAGACAAGAAAATAAACACACACAAATCCTGATCCACAGCAAATGCTCCTCCCCGCATATGCTGTGAAGCTCTCTAGATGAATACTGTGCATCCTTCTGCAATGCAGCTCTGTTAATTCCGGAAATTTCCACAGTAAACTCAGCCTGTCGGTTACCATGGAAACTGCCTGCTTCCTGGCACTACTAACAAAATGAGTGTTTTTCCCTAGACCTAAGAGGCAGCAAAAGGAAAATCTGTAAAAAGTCACCAAAAAATTTGCTCAAACAATCCAATTGGAAACACTCATATTCTAAGGATTTTAGTCAGAAAGTAGTAAGAATCTGGTGCACTGTAGACACCTATAACCCCAACATTCAGGAGGCTGCAGTAGGAGGATGAATGCCCTCAGCCAGTTTGGGCTAAATAGTAAGATCCTGTCTCTTGGAAGGAATGAAAGGAGGAAGAAGGGACAAACTAGAGAAATCTTCAATAGTTGGGCCAATACTGATTTAAGATGGAAATTTGTCTTTAAGGAAGAGTGATATTAAAAGAGGATGAGGCAAATAATTCATGTTTATATATTGCTGCTACAGCCAACATATCTGCTAAGAATTGGCCACCTACCAGCTATACTAACGCTTAACACTAGTCATTTTCCTAGGCTGTGCTTCATACAAAGGAAGATGAAGCTAACAGGCTATATGTTTTTAACCCCTATCCCCACCACAGCACTTAAAGGGGTACCTAAGGAATTTCACTAAAGACTCTCTTGGCATTACACATTACTAATTAGTCCCTTCCCAACTGCTTCCTTGAAAATGCTGGGTTTCTGACATCACACACAACCAGTCTGCCTTCCACCTCTCAAGCACCTTTTCTTATTCTCTGCATGTTCCTTAAGCCTCTACTACGTTTCTTTAGTGTTTGGCCCTATGTGCAATTTTCTCACCAAAATAAAGCCCTATCTTCTTACTAGGCAACTTTATTATCAATATCCTGACGACTCTCAGTTTCTTTTAAATCTCCAATTTAACACCTTGTCAGGTCCATGGATGTGACCAGGTTACATCACACTCCTAGCTACTCAGATACCTTTGTGGCCATGATGGAGCGAAATCCTCTGAAAGCACAAGTCAGAATCAGTCCTCCCTCTTAAGCTACTGCTGTCACACACTGTGTCACAGTGAAAAGTCGACTGTATATTCTGCTAGCTACTAAGTTTTTCCAAAAGAACATATATTATGCTTATTTTAGAAAAGAAGTAGTAACAGCACAAAGCTTACTATTTTACAGTTTTCTGTATTAATAAAATAGATATTCTTTTTTTTGGTTTACTGTGACAGGGTATCACTATGTAATTCTGGTTGTCCACTCATTACATGGACCAGGCTGACCTTGAACTCATCCACCTGACTCTACCTCCCAAATGCTGGGATTAAAGGTGTGTACCACATCTGGCCAAAATGAATACTTTTACCTAAAGCATGTATTAATATTTTTAAAGATGATATGTTCAACCTAAATGATAAGCATCTATATTAAAAAATGTGGATTTTTTTGTTGTTATTTACTGAGATAGGGCCTCGCTATGCTGTCCAGGTTGGCCTTCCTCTTGGGCACAAAGTAACTCCCACTTTGGTTTCTTTAATAGTTGGAACTGTGTGTCTAAGACCATATCTGACTCTAAAACATTCATCTGAGAGCAGAGTAAAGAAAAGTCTCCAGTGTTATCTAAATGCAGTCAACTACTCAGGTATACACTATACTTGGCATGACGCAACAAATGCTCATGTAGACTGAGTACCAGATAATACTTGATAACAACTTGATAAAAAATTTTACTCAGGCTTAATGCTCTTGCAGAGGGCCTGCGTTTAGCTCCCAACACCTACATCAGGTAGCAACGACCTGTAACTCTAGTTCTAGGGGTTCCGATGTCCTCTTCTGGCCTCCACAGGTACCAATACCCATATAGTGTACATAAACTTACACAAGCATGCCTACGTATATGCACATAAAGCAAATAAATAAATTTTACACAAATAAATCCCTCTACAGTTGGATCTGCCCAATGGTAGAAACTTTAAAAGCAGTTTTTAATGCCCTAGATAAAATTGCTAGTACTGCTATATAAATTTAGTAAATAAATCATTCTAGGTTTCTTTCAAATATCCTAGTAAGGTAAACTGAATGAGAAAAACTGACATTTGTCACATACTTTTCTATTAGCATAAGAACTGAATTCAACCAACACTCATGTTCATATATTTATCACCAAATATCGTGACTGTTGAAATGTATGCTTTGAGAAAAAGGACAGAAAACCACTTATACTGTTGAGTAAAAATAATCTAGCCATATAACTTTATTATTACTGTTTTGCTTCTTTACATTGCAATACCATTTACATATAGTGAAACATCCAAATCATAACCATGTAGTACATTGAGTTTTAGCAAATTCATACACACTTAGGTATTCGAAGATTTAACAAAACATAAAGCCTGTTACCCCACATGGCTCCCAAGACAAGAACTATTCTGATCTTAACCACTATCATTGATTTCAGCCTTGCCAACTCTGGAATTTCAGGTAGATGAACCAAATGGTGTGTGCTCTTAGCTTTGTCTTAGCACTTGTGGAATCACGTATGCTTATGTGGATCAGTAACTTTTATTGCATTCTAGTAAGACAAAATTTATCCATTAATTTTCCCAGTATTAGACATCTGTATTCTTTCTAGTTTTGGGAACCACAATGAACAGTTAGTATGAGTGTTCAAAACCAAATTTTAATAAAACATTTTCACCCTGAGCAACAAAACACAAGGCTAGGTCATGTTTAAATTCATAAGAAACTACAAAGGAGTTTCCTAAAGTAATTGAATCCTTTTCTATTCCCTCAACAATATATAAGAATACTGATACCATCCTTTTATTTGGGCCATTCTAGCAACATCATTCTCATTTCAATATATCTCTTCTGATTACTAATGTATCTTCTCTTTCCATGCATTTATTACTTGTCCCTAAGGTTCTTTGTAAAATGTCCACATAAGCCTAAAACCCATTTTTTGAATGGGATCATTTGTTCTGAGTAATTCATTATGTATCTGAAAGTTCTTTGTCAGGTAAATGTGGAGTATTTTCTCACTTTGTGACTGGCCTATGTGCTTTCCTAAGAAACTTCTGGTAAGCATAAACATTATCATCAGTGAAGTTCAATTTATCTTTGGTGGCAATTTACACTAAGCATTTTCCTTTGTGTGTCAATTAAGTCTTTGCCTGTGCGAGATAAATACATGAGGATGTTTTCCTTTATAAGTTAAATGGAATTGCTATTTTACCCTTTAGGACAATGCTGTATCTCAAGCACATGGTGTGAACTAGGAATCGGGGTTCATTCTGTTATAGACCTCATCCCAGTGTGTTCCATCATCATAAAAGGCCTATCCTTTACCTGGAACTGTACAGGAATCTTGGACAAAAATTAACAGATTGTGCATGTGTGCTCATGTGCTGAACTTCCTATTCCATTTTATTAATGTATTTGTCTAACTATAATACCATTCTTCTACAAAGCTTTACTTATTGTATCTTCATACTAAACCTTGAAATCAAGTAATTTACATTCTTCACCTTCATTACTTTTTATAAAAGTATTTTCAGTATTCTATATCCTTTATATTAACACATAAATTACATAATTGAAATGGCTGTGTGTGTGTGTGTGTGTGTGTGTATGTGTGGTGTTAAGGTTGCTAAGTTATTCCTGAGTTGAATTAATAAATGAATATGATAAGAACAGATAGCCTAGTAATACAATACTTCCCAATTCAGGAATACACCATTGTTTGTGTGCATGTGCAGTGTGTGTGTGTTAAGGTTTTAAAGGTGTTCCTGAGTTGAATTAATAAAAGAAAGTGATAAGAGACACATTAGTAATACTGTACTTTTCAACATAGGAATACATGTTTTTGTGTGCACATTTATGTGTGTGTACCTGTATATATGGCAGTGGGGGTGACAGAGGGCTTGACACATGCGAAGCAAGCACTCATTACTGAGCTACATACATGACTTGTCCAGAAAAAAATATCCTGCCCATATATTCAAGTCCTTCTTTCTCTCAGTAATTAATGTACTAGAGAATTCTTAATGTATTTTCTTTAACTATATCAATAAATATTTTGTACATTTAAAGCCACTATAATCATTCTAAAATTTTTACTTTTCAAATATCTATGTATACTAATAGGTGATCATGGAAAGAACTGATTTCACCTGACCCCTTGCTAAAGTCACTTAATAATTTTGGTAATTTTTGTAGATTAAGATTTTTCTATATATGCAATTACAACACCTGTCTTTTAAAAAATTAGTTTGCAATCCAATCTGTAAATCATTTTGTTCAGAGATCACACACATAGCACTGAGTCTTTCATCACTAAATAAGTACATTTCCTCAGAAGCTAGAAAGAGTTTAGTTAGTTTAATTAAATGTTTTTGATAATTAATATTGTCAATTACTTTTTGCCTCTATTGAAATGCCCATATTTTTCTCCCTTGGTTTATTAATACAGTGAATTATAAGAATAATTTTCAAATATCCAATCAAGATGAATCCAATTTTGTGTTTATGAGTATTTAACTGTGTTTATTAACGTTGGAGTTCCATGGTCTCCTTTGCTATGTAATGTTCTTGTCTGGTTTCTATAGGTGTTATGCTGACTCCAAAGTTGAGCTAAAAATGTTCCTTATTCTGTTGTCTAAAAAGTTCTGTAAACTTAATACTATGTCTGCTTTTCTTTATTGTATGTATGTATGTATGTATGTATGTATGTATTTGCTGTTGTTTGTTTCTGCCAGGGCCTCACACTACATTAGGCAGGATCACTAACAGACATGATATTGAGTTGTGCCCCACACCTTTCCTTTTTTTTGAAACTTATTAATTATGTATACAGGGTTCTT